ACCTCTCCGTATGCCCAGCCCCTCAGGCGCCCGACTACGAGAACTTGCAGGAGAGGCTCGAGGACCTTTTGGCCCCCCTGGAGACCTCGGAGGGCTACCGACTTCCACGGGATGGGGAAGGTGCTCAGCTCCAGGAAGGACTCGATGAGGTCTATAGGAATAGGTGCGTAAAAGCGCGGGGGGAACTGGAAGGTGCGCTTCAGGCGGGCCCTGGAGGGCTTCAAGGAGGCCAGCCCTGCCAACTGGTTGAGGTGTCTCTTGGAGAGCTGCTCTGCGCACGACGTAGCCCCACAAGAAGCCCCTATAGAGCCCTTCATTGGTATGCTCGCAGATGCAACGACATTGCCAGCCTGGTGAAATCGGGAAAATATTACACACATGCAAATTACTTCACAAAGCTCATCAAGGCCACCTACAGAGCGACGGAGACGGGTGGAATTTCCAGGTACCACTACCCTGGAGGACGAGAGGCCTGGATGGGCCTACTGCGGGCTGTTCTTGGGATATTCTGGGTACACTATGAGTTTATGTTCATTGACGTGATAGTTAACAATTCTCAGCCCTCCAGAACTTCGCAGAGTTTCAGGCGGCGTAGTGCCTGCCGCGCGAGAGAGCCGAGAAGGCCGCCAATCGGGGCGACTGGGGCACGGAGGCCCTCGCTGGTGGAGCCAAGCGGGCGCGCGTCTATACCAAGGTGGCAAATGAACGAAATCAGGACCTCCACCCCACAGATGATGGGCACTACATGTCGCGTTTAACCCGTCAGTTGGAGGAGGAGGAGGAACTAAAGTGGAGCAAAGCTTGGGGGGAGGAGGCCAAGGAGAAGGAGGTCGGGTGGCCCGAGGGCATGGCGATCCCGAAACCCCCGAACATTGAGGATACCCGCGCGCTAAGCAAAGCCGACAATTGCAGCAGATGGGTTTCACCCCGGACATTTTCATTTGCTCGGCGATGAGGCCCTGGCTTTTTTTTTCGGCAGGCCACGGCTGTCATGGCGGTCGCGGGCGCGGCGCCCATCTGGATGAGGAAGCTCATCCTCGCGCCCTTTTCGCGAGCCAGTGCCGGGAAGGAGGCCGATCGGGTTCTTTCGAAGCACTCTTCGGATGGCGTCCAGATGGCATTCTCGGGACTGTAAACGTTGGGAGCTCAAGTTAAAGGATTTGGGAGCATTCAGCATGAGATCTGGGAGGTCACCCGCGGGCACTGTCTGGAGGCAGCATGTTCGAGGGGGCCTGGCCACATCTGAGAAGATGCACGTGCTCAGTCTGCTAGCCGACCTCACGCAGTGCTATGGGCATGCGTAGTATCCGCAGCTTGTGCAGAGTGCAATTGATCGGCCGTGCCCGCTGTACACCTTGGGTTTCGCGCTGCACGCGTGCACGTGGGGGGCGTATTCTGAATTCAGACGGGGTCATGTCCCAGGGGCTGGTTCCGCATCAGGGAATAGTCGCTGGGGGCAGCGCGGCCACTTTCGAAATCCAGGTCTATTGTATACCGACGGTGAACAGTTTCCTGGAGCAGGGCTTGTTCGGCAGAGCTGGCGGTCCGCGTAGATGGTTTCAGTCTGAACGAGCGCTGCGCAGACATGTTTAAGTGCGCGCGCAACATGGCGCTGGCGCTCGCGCTCCTGATAGACCTTCTCTCTCAGCTCTGTAATTTGACCTTTGCGATGAAGCAGTTCTGTATCACGGGCGCCAGCGAGGATCTGGTGCGCTTTGCTAAGCAGAACCTCGCCCAGTATGCTGGCCAGCATGGTGTCTCGTTGGTCAACTCAGGCGTGGACTTCAACCCAGGCAAACACGAAGGGGTCAAACGTGCTAAACAACAGAGAAGGGAACGCTGGAAACAGCTGCCGGGGCGCCTCAACAATATCATGAGTTTGTTTGTTTTTCTTTCCTTTTTCATAAAAAAAACGAAGAGATCCAGGGCGCAGCTTTGGTTTTGCGGGGCGAAGCCCGCCGCGACCTACGGGGGGGAGGTGGTGGGATGGAACCCTCGCGAGATTAGGAGACTACGTTCGCAGGCGGGTCCTATGCTAGGGCTCACGAGTTGCGGGGCAGACCTCGGCCCGGCGTTTGCCCTCGAGCCGCAGCGGGGTCCTTTGAAGCATGCTGGAGCCACTGTCACCAGATATGCCAAAGAGTTCTGGTTGGCCTCCGACCCAGTACACAAGCCAAGGGGGCTGTCTTAATATTGGAAAGCTCAGCCGCATCCTCAACCAAGTCAGGGACTACCAAGAAAAACGTGATTCGGCTTCTTGGGGACACGTTGTCATGGGGTCCTGTGGGGGGCGGGGCATGCTTTTATGGCTAAAGAAGGCGTCTTGGGAGATCAGAGGTCCTGGCTTATCATCTATGCGGTCGGGCCGGGGGCCCCTTGCGTGCGCACGGAGATCCCCGATGTGCAGGTATCAAGCTACTTCTTCAAAGATCTAGGTAAGGAGTTCGCGGCCACTAGCATGCAAAAGTATTTAGGCACTAGTGAACACCGGCGAGCTCAAGAGATTTTAGACAGAGGACTCTGGGCGGACCCCCCCAGAGCGTTTTGGAATGGGTCCAAGGGAAAGAACTTCATGCGCGTGGCGAAGCAGGTGTTCACTAGAAGCTACGTCACGGCGGCGCACCTACACAGATGGAGGTGCCGGGTGGAGCCGACCTGCCCGTTCTGCCAGAATTAGCTGCGCCTTGACAGCGCCTGGCACTGGGCGTTCGAGTGCCCGAACTTTGCCGAGCAGAGGCGCGCGTGCATGCCGATAGAGTGGGCGGAGGCGGGACTGGAGGCTGGGGAGGAGGATCCGTTCTGCAGTAATCTGTGGCTTCCTCAACCAGACGGGATTATTCCTGCGTTGTGGGAAGGGGGGGGGGGGGGGGGGAGGGGAGGGTCAGATTGTAGGCCAGGGGGGGGGGGGGGGCTATTCGGATTTCGGAGTTTAGATTTTCGCAGAACGTCCACATTTATTCGGATGGATCGTGTTTTTTTGGGGTACGTATGAGCAGGTGGCAAGAGCGGGTTGGGCTGCGGTTGCGGTTGATGACGATGGGCTCCTGGTCCAGGCTGTTTTTTTGGGAAACGTTCCAGGTTTCTTACCCCAGAGTGCGGTTTTCGGCGAGTGTTACGGGCTGCTGCAGGCCTTAAGCCAAGTTGGAGGAGGCCCTGAGCGCGCCGATCCAGATCGGCCATTTACCATTCATAGTGGTTGCAAAAGTCTGCTCCCTGCCCAAGATATGTTTGCCTCCACCTCGGGCAGAACCCCGCTGGCAGAAGTTTGGCGGGCTCTCTTCGCGAAGTATGTTCCTGCTTGGGAACTCATAAAGGTCAAGGCCCATGCCAGGGAGGAGCAGGTAGGTATCCAACTGCGTCACCAGAGAGGCAATGCCCGTGCGGATGAGTTCGCCAAGGATGGGGCGAATATCCATCCGCAGACGCTGGGGAACATCCACCGAGATGAAGTCGCAATGTCGGGATGGGGCGAAGTAGCCGCAGGTGTTGCCAATATTCCCGCCGAGACCCCGAAAGCCCAAGTGCTGTTTGGGAAGCTAGATAGGGCTTTATCGAGATCTGTGGAGCCTCCGAAGGTCGCAAGTAAGCGCCATCACTCCGTTCTGTGGAGCGGATCCATGTGGAGTTGCTGCAAGTGTGCTAAGAGTTTCAAGTCTAAGGTTGCCAAAGGGGCGCGCGCCGCCTTAACCCCAGCCCTGCTCAAGGTCAGGGACTTGGCGGTAGAGCCCCCTGCATAAACTGTTTGTCTATAAAGTTCTTGAGACGGGACTCCCCGTGGTTTTTTGTTTGCGGTGCGGGGCCTACACGTCGGGCCCTGCAAGGGCCCTGGGGGGCCCATGCGGTAAAATATTTAAGTAGCAGCGCGTGCAATTTCTCGGAGGGAGGTTGCCGTGGCCACGGGGAATGCATGTCTCGACGCCTTGGCCCTTAGCCTTCCGACAGGAGGATGGGGAGTGGTGGGCCAGGCTGCAACCTATATCATAATTTTCCGTGTGCCCCAGTCCCTTCGAGCCGTGCGTGTAGGAGATAATGAGAGAGCCAGCAAAAGGAGGAGGAGGAGGAGGGGGAGGAGGAGGTGGGGAAGTAGGGGGGGAGGAGGGGGAACAGGAGGAAGAGGAGGAGGAGGAGAACCAGTGCAAACCCAAGAGTCATAAACGTTGTTGGCAACCCCCCCCTCCAAGCTTCCTCTTCATAGGCCCCTACAACGGGTCATTTCCACTGAGGGAGCTGCTTCGTTGGAAGACAACCGTTTGAAGACCCTGGAGCATGTCAAGCCATTATTTTCGGGACTCCAAAGCCTCGGATCAACTTGATTGTTGCATCTTGACGATCTCGAGTCGTGCCAGAACGCCAATCTTGGGACTTCAACACCGCGAACCAACGTAATTGTTGCACCCGCATCGTCCGGAATATTTTCAGCACGCTATTTCTGGTGCGTTGATCATGGGAACCCTTGGAACTCTTGCGCTTGCTACGAATGTGCGTGGCGCTAAGGCGGGAACCACTTTTTGGAAAGGAGCCGCCTTCAGTCCGTGAAACTCTTGCACACATGTTTAACGAATGTGCGCAGCGCTACGGCGAGAGCCACACCTTGAAAGAAAACGGCCCGTCCTCAATCCGTGATATTCTTGGATTTGTTCAACGACTGTGCGCGACACGAAGGCAAGAGCCACATTTTGAAAACCACCCGCCCTTAATCCGAGAAGCTGTTGCAAGTGTTTGAAACGAATGTGCGCGGCGCTAATGCAAGAGTCACACTTTGATGGCCAACCGCCCTCCATCTGTGAAGCTGCTGCCAATGTTTAAATTTCAGGGTCATAAATGGTGAGGAAGTCTCAGGCGAAACGCCCGGCCCGCCCTAAAAATTGGCTTCGGGGTGCGACAGGGAAGAGTTATTTACAAGGAAAAGGAATGGAGGCAGGAGGAGGGAGGAGGGAAGCGGGAAGTGGGAGGAGGAGCAGGAAGGGCCCCCCGTTCGCCAGCCGCCACTCGCCCCGCAGGCCAGCGGCGAGCGGGCGCCGTCGCGCGAGGCGGCTGCAGGGAGCGTCGTCGAGGTTTGAGGGTTCAGGTTCGAGGGTCGAGGGTCGACGTTCGAAGGGCAAGGGTGGAGGGTCCATGTTCGAGGTCGGGGGTCGAGGTCGATGTTCGAGGTCGGGGTTCGAGGGTCGAGGCTCGATGTTCGAGGTGGCGGTCGAGGGTCGATGTTCGAGGTCGACGGGCGAGGCGGCTGCAGGGTCCAGGTTTGAGGGTCGGTGTTCGAGGAGCGAAGGTGAAGTTTCGAGACTTCTGTATGCACGTGGGCGTGCCGGAGGCTCTGGACCGGTCGTTGCCAAAGGTGTCCGCGGCCCACGGTGTCCCCAGATCGTCTGCTGTGCTGCCACCAGGAAATTGCGAGGATGGCCGTGCCCTCGCCGACCTCCTTTCTCCTCAATTTTCTCATCCTCCTCATCCTCCTTTTCTCATCCCTCGTCCTCATCTTCCTCCTCGTTCTCCTCCTCCTCCCTTCCGTAGCCATGTTGGCTCAAGCAGTTGTTGGTTCAAGGTGTATGTTTCCGCGGAAACAATACCGCTAGTCCGCGGCCAAATTCCCAATTTCTTTGTGAGTTTCTGCAGGCGCAAGCCCCGCCTCCCGCAGACGGTTCGGCGGGTAAACAGTGGAGTGTCTCGATTCTGTTTGGCTATCTGTGCGCATGTCTGCGAATGTTGCTGGACAGAAGAAGGCCAAAAAGAAACCGGGGGGGGGTCGGTATGCTCGTGATGGCTCTCGGCCCGCTGCTCCTGATGCGAGGGAGGAGGGTAGGTCTCGCTCCAATCGTGACAGCAGCGACGATGAAGATGGAATGGGCCCAGCTTGGTGGAACACGCACATGATGGGACTCATCGATGAAACGTTTGGGGCTGATTTGGAATGATTCAAGGTGGAGCTCACAGAGATGATCTCAGCGGTGATGACCAAAGCGTTGGAGAATGCAAGCCAAGCCGAACTACTAGCACTAGTATCCGACCACCCTCAGATGTAGGGGTCCATATATCAAAATGGCCCTACAGACGACCACGGTGCATGCCCATTGATACGACAGGATGATTCCCATTCTCAAATTCACGATGCCACTCAGCCAACACCACGACACCAGACGAGGCATGCGCTCGCAAACAACACCAATTCCAGAAGGCACCAGCACCACCACGATACACGTCAAACTGGCCACGCACGGCGCACAACGAGCAAATGATTACACAATAAATGACGACCTACATCACGACAAGCAAACCCTATAATTTATGACAAAGGGACAACATCTACGAGCACAGGCTCAGCTGCAGAAGTTTCACATCATGGGTGTGCAGGAAACTACGGCCAGAAACGACTACAACACTGCTTACATATTCATGCAGTTGACCGCGCCACAGCACCCCTCCAGACTTGCGTGAAGCCCGCTAGTCCGCACAGCCCTACCGCACGCGACCACGCCCAAGCATCAGCTACACATCAAGTACAAGCACTTCGGAGTACCCCACTCAATCCACCGACTGCTAATAATCAATATAAGAGCGCCGTTCATATGCGATACCACTTACGAAGCACATGCGTCTTACATGCAGCACGACACGCGACGCACAACCAACTGGTGGGAGACATTCCACGACCTGACCAATAAGTGGCCTCCAGCCATCATCTTAGCCAACCCTAACGCACGCATCAGTGCCAATATTTCTCCAGGTATCGGCACCATAGCACCGCCGGTACCCCGGCGGCAGGGAGAAAACGATGACGCAACACAAGTTCGCCTCACCATGGCAGCGCACGACCCCGCATGCACAAACACAGTAGTTCATCACGAACCTGCACACGCTTTCGTCAACAAGCTCAACGGCAAGCTCACCAATCACAGAAGTGACTACACTGACGCGATTCAGAGGCCAGCAAAAACGAGGACCGTTACCCAGTCTGCCTGGCCATCGAGCACCATGCTCGTAGAAAGCAGCCACCACCATTGGACCCTATCAACATGCAATACCCAGCTAGACAGACGTACTCCCCAACCTTCTGGACAGCCAACCTCTATCAACTTGACATCAATGAACACCACCAGCGACTACCAGCACGATGCGTGCAGCAGCGGTAGAGTCTTTCCCGAGAGACTGCTTTGATCCACGACAGTCGTACATTATTGCAGGAACTACGAAGCGTATCATACTCAGACGGTATGCGTTAGCAGTTCTACGGCCAGAAAGGCATGTGTCTACGAGTTTTAGGAGATACTAACTGAACCACGACATCGAGCAATATCTCACTGGCAGACCTACAGGCCACCACATGCCCCATCTACACTTGGCACTGCACGCTGCCACATTTTGCGAGCAACACATGGCAGGGCAGGCGACGCATGCGATCGGAACCACAGCACGCTCACCACTTGCTCTCCAGCTCGAACAAGGCAGAGCCAGGCACACCGAAGTTGTTCCATGCTCCTTCCAGCGCCCACATGACCTACGAGAGCACAGGGCAGCTGCGCAAGACGCCAAAGCAGGACTACGCTACGGCCCAGCCACTGCAACAAAAGCCACATCACAAGCCATGCCATGCTCCACCGACGACACGGGCAAGCCAATGGAAGATGGCGAACAGCGTGGAAGAGGTAGCCTCCACTGTGACGACAGCACGCTCGGCGCGCCCGTCATTCCATGTACATTAGGCTTCGTGGTTGATCACTATACCACACACAACGCGACGTCCCTTACATGTATATGCATGAACAAACGACGAGCGACGCAAACCACCAGAGTTCGACAGCATCACAACCGACTTATTAAAATCAGCATCAGCTGGCGCAGCTCGGCACGCCCATCTGCTACTCCTCAGAGCATCACCCGCCCAGCAGGGCCCCTGCGCTGCAAGCGCGGCGCGGCCGTGCCGATCCACGAAGGACAAGGGGCGACCTGCAAAGCTACCCAAATGCCTGCCCGTCTAACCTGCATCAGGAATTCCCAAATTGCATTATATATATACACACACCTCGGGCACAGCCTCACCACCACACTCACCAAAGCATTGCAACCGACGCACCGCGGAGGACCCCCCCCCCCCCCCAAGGAGATCCACCGCCTTCGCGGCGCACGCAGAGACACTCCCAACAGACTTCCATCAGCAAGCAAGCCGAGCACAATGCGCTACTGCATCGACCTCGCAGCAGCCTTCCACGCGGCGGCGCGAGAAGCAGTCTCTGAACACCATGCGCCAGCGGACCGCGCCAAGTACTGCCAGCACGACGGCTTCCACTTGCATTGGCGCCGCTGGCGGGAGCCAGACTCAGTCAACCAGGCGCGCTGGGCACGCGCGAGCGCGACCAGAACCGCATTGCAGAGATCGTGGGACCTTACAGAGCTTCCCACTTCACCTGAAAGCAATCTCATACGACTGCCCACCCGTCGAACGGCCGCGACTTGGCAGCAACTTAGCACGCGCACGTTACGACCTCTCCCTTGCGAGGTCATCCAACGACTCAGCAGCCAGCGTGACGGGCCGCCCTGCACGGGCAGACTACCAAGGCCGGCACATCCACCGTTCTCCCCACGCCAGCTAGCGGACACAAGCAAACGCGACAACGCCGCTGACATATCATTCGCCGACGACGCGCTCAGAGTCGCAAAGTCCAACTGCGCCAGAACTGACACCAACGCCCGATCAGCGGATACCTTCGCTACTTGCCGCTTGTTCCACCAAGGGGGGCGCGGGGCCCATTCGCCGCGACGACTACTGCGCAGCTTACCACCGCTCGCAACCGTTCTGACCGCGGCGCCGCGAGGGCACGCGTCTGACAGCAGCGCGACTCTGATGTTGCCGACCAGCGACAATTCTCATCGTTCAGAGGGTCGACTGCGCAGCGCGACAAATCACCGACGCCCCACAGGTGCCGCGTCGCCTGGTCGACCTCGCGCGCGAACGGCGCGCTCGATAGCTCGCGGCGCGCGGTGAGACGGCGACCGCGCCATCGACTTGGGCCGCCCCAATCGCAGCGGCCTCGAAGTGGCCGGTCTCCAGGTCATCGCCACCGCTGCTAAGGATGAGCCGCAGCGACACTGGAACATATATAACAAGATGGCTTCATTGCGTTCGCGAAAAGCCCGCGCACTACATTTGACATGTAGACATATCTAAACGCAGAGAGCACATCTACTACAGCGACAAAGTGCGCGCCGCATTCGGCGGCAGCATATGTGCCGGCTCGGCCGCGACAGCGGCGGCGCACCCCCACTCCTGACAGAACAGCAGGTGGCCCACGGCTGCAACGAACGCGGGCGCACCTCGCGCACCGCCGGGAACTGGCTGGCCCGCCGCGCAGACAAAGTTCAGAGGCGACGATGGGGGCGGGTAGCCCAGGGGGGAGCAATGCACGCATTCGCCCGGGAGCCATGTCGAAGACGTTGACGATCGGCATCCCTGGATGCATGCATTGCCCCACCCTGGGCTATTCGCCCCTATCGTCGCCTCCGAAAAGCACCCGCGGCGCGATGGCACTCCGGCGGAGTCGACGGCAGCAGCTGCCGACGTTGCAAGGATCTATTCTACTTCAGACAACGATTACTGGCGCACCGACGATGGAGATTAGCGCGCCGCAAGAACTACTGCACGCAGCGCGTCTTAGCACTGCCACTTGACACCATGTAATCAGTGCAAATACTCCGACGGACAGACCCCGCATGAAAACATGTTCGGCTAGTCTGGAAATACCTTTCCGTCTTCGCGAGTAGTGAGGCACCCTTATCGTCCTCTCCGCGTCATTACCATTCTCGCCCTGGCGCAGGACCCTCGCCCGCTCCCCGCGTTGCCCTTGCCTCGCCCTCCTGCTGTTTGTTTCGTCGCCCACCACCTCCTCTCCTGTCTATGGCAAGAGCGCGCGCGCCGATTTTCCTCGACGCCGTCGCCGCAGCCGTTGGGGCAAACCCGCGGGCCAGGCCGCTGGGGCAACCGCGCGAGCCGCTGGGGCGCAGGAGCAAGCCGCTGGGATAACCCGCCAGGCACCGAGCT